AACAATGTCATTTTATTGGGGGAGTTATTTTGACTGGATCAAATTATTGTGGGGGTCACAACCCCCCTAAACCCCCCTGCAAATTACGCCTATGGTTGAGTTGAGCAAAGATTACACATACATTGCTCAGTTTACTCAACCTGGCATAGTAGAACCCGTTTGGTTCAGTAAATTCACCAGTTTATTTCTCAGAGTGTGTAAAAGTACTTTCACTTTCCCAATTTTTGCGAACAGTTTTATCACTTTTACTTGAGTAGTTTTCTCATCAGTGAAATTTATTTTTACCAGTCATTTTCTGTTCATGTGATTTTACTTTTACTTAGTTATTTTTTTTTGTTCAAGCACTTTATAGACCTGCACATTAGGTGTATTTGCACGAAGTATCAATATCCTTGAAGGAGTACTGGGTCTTTTTCATGATTCAGACCAGAGCTGTGGGACAGCCTGCTCAGTGTCAGCTCTGCAGTCATCCTGACACCAGGAAACATTTCATGTTGAGGACATTTTTCCATCACAACAAAAAACACCAATAAAACAAATTCAGAAATACTTTTATATAAAAGAATCAATGAAAATCATGTAGAAAGGAATGAGCTTGGTGCCAGATTTTATTCATGCCTGTTAGTATTTGTACAAACGTGAGCGAGGAGCTGAGGTCAGCTGAGTGTTTTAACTTTGAGCTCAAATATTTACTCACATTTTAGCAGTTTTCATCTTAAATGTATCTTATTTTAACTTGAATTATATTTAAATGTAAATTAATTCAGCTTTTTTTAATTTAAGCCATACTTTCTTTTATACTCAGTTTTAGAGTAACTTTTATTTTACTTAAATCACCATTAAAAAAAACAATTTCCCTTTTGTAAGAGTCTTGGTTTTACTCATTATATTTTAGACCTTAGTATTTTCTTATTTTAATAACCACTTTTTGGTGTTTTGTCAATGAAATTATGTTATAGTTGTTTAAATGTTTTCATAATTGTTTCTTGTTTAAATAATCTTAATGGTGATTTTGTGTTTTTGTCACTTTGTGTATGAAAGATGCCTTAAAAATAAACTTTGAATGAATGTTTAACAAATAATCTAATTAAGTTGTTAATGATATACCTGCTGAGTATGTCACTTGTTTAAAATTATGGATTAAACTGACTATTAATCCTGTAAACAGCATTTTAAGGCTTTTAACATGTTAATTCCAAATCCAAGAAAAGAAAGTTTGAAAATCATAATGCAGAAACATGTAAAGGGMTTTAAAGCAATAAGTATAAGAAACAGAAGAAAGTCATATAAAGATAAAGTAAGTGAATCTAATAAAGAAGGATCTGGACTGTGAGAGGAGAACTTACCGGACCCAGAGACTTGGGAGCCACCCAGAAAACCCAGCAGCAAAATCCCGAAAACTGTGGAGCAGGAAAACATTTTGTTCTGTTCCAGATAAAAAACTGTCTGAGGARATCAAGGAGCTCCACTTCAAATAGACGCAAACTGAAAGTAAAAACTGCTCACCCCTTCTTTTTGGCTTTTAATCAAATCAAAGGGAAGGAGGGAGGAGGAGGAGAAAGAGGAGGAGGCTGACCTTTTTTGGATTGTTTAGAATTTCAGAAGAAAAAAACTGAAACTGAAACTAGAAAAGGAAGTTGAATATAGTATTTTGGGAAAGTCCCAGTTGTGTCAGAGGTCAGCCTCGTGATCCAAGTCATGACTCTGTGTCATCTGGGTCTTTCAYCATCCCTTAAAATAAATTATTCAAGTTGGCCGCCACCGTCATCAGGCCCTAAAAACACAGGAACATCTACAACTCAGTTCATTTTAYAGATATTGTAGTAGCTAAGAGTCCTGTTTAACACATACTTTGAGTGCCACCCAACCGTGCATGATCTTTGCTTATAACTTTGTTTGTCTGTTWGCAAAATWTCTCATAAACCATAGGACARATTTTATTGAATCTTTCAGGAATTCATCACTAGATAYRCATCTAAAGCTGWTCAAGTTTTGGAGTCAATCTGAWYCAAGATGGCCGTCACAGCCGATGGGTCATAAAAACCCCRAATATCATAATTCTGTCAATTTAACAGACGTTTGGCCTAAATGTAGCCAAGAGTCATCCCCAACATTCTGAGTACATGTTTTCTTAAACATTTCTTAGATATTTTAACTTTACAACCCTGTTTTTTGTTAGCAAAATATCTCATGAAACTCTGCGTCTTAATCAGAGGTTTATAACGTACTTCAAAAAAAAAAAAAACGAAGTGAAAGTGAAATTACATGAGCAGAAAATGACTTTGGTAAAAATAAATTTCACTGATGAGAAAACTACTCAAGTAAAAGTCGTGAAACTGTTCACAAAAATTGGGAAAGTAAAAGTAAAAGTACTTTTACACACTCTCTAAGAAATAAACTGTTAAATTTACTGAATCAAACTGGTTCCACTAAGCCAGGTTGAGTAACTTCAGCAATATAAGTATTTTCTTTGCTCAGTTTACTCAACTAGGCTTAGTGGAGCCAGTTGACATGACTTTGTTGAGTAAATTCAACACTTCGTTTTTTAGAGTGCAGAAACATCTTTCATGAGGAGTCCCAACATATTTAATTTTATTACGAGTACATTTTAAGGTAAAGAAGTAAAAGTATCCTTTTAGGTTTAAAATGTAACTAAAAATAATGTTACTAAAATTAAAAGTAGCTGTAAGAAATACGTGTTTTAATATGGTATGTCCGAATAAACAGGATTCAGCTGGATTTCTTGTTAAAAACTTTATTTCAGTCCTCTGACTGCAATCAGGTTCATTCAGCTCTCAGCAGCACAGGCCTCAGAGTACAACCTTGGGTCAAATCAAAACAAACACGGGAGTTCTGCTCTGAGCAGACACTCTGCAAAAACACTGACAACTTCTCTCTACTATAATAATGAATTGAGCTTATAATGTTTATCCCTTCCTGGTTACACCCCAGAGGTGTTACCTTTAACGTCAGACGTCAGAACTCACTCATTTTTGTTTAGGCTAAGAGAAAGAACACATGATAACACAACAACTCTTTGTCAGCTTCAACCTTACAGAATGAAATGATCAGAAAGTAGAAAATACAAAACTGAATCTAATATTCAATTAATCAGTTACAAAATTTCTTCATAGCTATTTAAAAAATAATTGGTAAAATTACAAATCCTCAAAAAAACTACTTAAGTACTAATGTACTAAGTTACTATAAACCTCTGGTCTTAATGAAACTCAGAAAATCATTGCTRGATGTTCATCGATCACTGATTAACTTTTGAAGTGAATTAAATTCAAGGTGGTCATTAGAGCTAATCAATAACCGAAACACACACAACAAAGCTATAAATCAATCAGTTTTAAATAAGTTGAGCTACAATTTAATGTGTTTGTAGCTGAGAGTTGATCAGAAAACATACTCCGAGCAGAGCGTCTCACAATATTACATAAAATTGTACATAAAGTTTGGATAAAATGGCTACAGCTCTCATTCTACAAAACTCTGACATCAAAGGTGGTGGGTGAAATGCATTCCTTGAAGGATCACTAATTTAAAAATAAAGTTCTTCAGGCTCTTTATCTATTAGGTATTTTATTTTWTGTGTGTTCATGATGCTATCAGCTGTTTATTCTCTGGAACAATAAATTACATCATYATGTAAACAGCATCTTTTTTTAAACAAGTCTGAGTTTTCATCTTTCAGTCTCGTTTATCTGATTTCCCAAATAAATGTGCTCAGATCATCTCTCCGTGTTGCAAATGTCAGTCAAGCCTCCATGGCTTGATAACCCGGTGCACATTCCACTTTTGGTTTACTCAAAGCAGACCTCCCTTATCTACTTCCTGAGAGCCCTTCCTCCTTTTCACAGGAGAAGTTCTGCTCCTGGAAACTGTCAGACACTTTTCCTCCCCTCAGCCGGTGTCCGGTTTGATTCCCTCACACTTTCATTCTTTCTGAC